ATTGTCTGGAACTTCAAAGGGAGCTGAAAGTTAACTGGGAAAGCATCAGTCCTCTGTGGAGTTAAGAAATTTAGGGAAATAAGAACTATACATCAGAGAGAAGCACTATTTTACACCAAAATTTTTATGCATTTGTTTTCCTTGATCTAAAAAAAAAGATATTTAACCTCAAACTGAAGTAGAAATTCTAGAACCAAAAATTTGAAACTAGAAGGCACACTGATCATCTCTCCCAGTGCTCCCTTGTCACAGATACGAAGATACCCATGATACGGTGTTGCTAAGATAGACTACAATCATGCTCCCAGGCTTACAAGACATCTCCATCCAGTATTCACCAAATGAACCACATATTCACATCTTGCTAGATATTTTAAAATTTCAATAAAGTGTTTGCTTCTTAACATAAGGATCTGGGTTTCATTCCCAAAACATACATTGATAAAAAAAAACCTGTGTGGGTGGCACCTAATTATAATATGAGTCCAGGGGAGGCAGAGACAGGTGGCTTACTGTCTAGCCAACATGTCCTACTTAATGAATTTAGGACTGAGAGACCCTGTGCCAAAAATAATAAATAGGTAAAAAGATGATGGCTTAAAAGAATGACCTCTGAGGTTGTGTTCTGGCATACACCTCCATGCACACATGCATGCGCGAACAGATAAAAGCCTGCTGTATATGAATTTTAAAAGCACTTCCTATAATTATGCATATTATATTATCAAAGTAACTGAGATAGTTTCCAGTGATAACTTAGCAGGATATTTTTCAGTCACATGCAAACATCTTGGTTCTGTCCCCAACACCAAAACATAAGGACAAAAGCAATCTGACCCATGAGTGTCTCAGAAAGACAGTATGAATTTGTTTTAATTTTGTGTTTTCATATCCTAATACTAATCAAAAGCATACATCATGCTATAAAAGGCAATATAGTGTTCTGAAATAGTACTTCCTGATGCTAGCCACTGTTTTTCTTGGTTGTCCTTTTATCCTGTGACAACTCAGTGAGCTGTAACCCACTCCTTTCCATAGACAGTGTAACTAAATGGCAGAGACCTTAGGTTACTATCCTAAGTCATTGTCTGTGAATCGTGGAACCCAGAGAAGACACACAAAGAGTGTGATTGATATAGGTAAATAAATAAATGCCAGCTGGGCTAAGGGAATAACTCAGTTGGTAAAGTGTGTATCACATGAACATGTGGACCTGAATTTGATCCCTGGCAACCACGTGAAAAGCTGGGTGTAGAACCCTAGTGCTGGAGAGGTAGAGACAGGAAGCTTCTGGGGTTCCCTGCCTAGCCAGTCTAGCTGAATCAATGAGCCCCAACTTCAGTAAGAGATTCTGGCTCAAATAAAAATAATAAATAAGATGAAGAGTGATAGAGGAAGGCTTCTGTTATAGATTCTGTCTCACACACACACACACACTAGCAAAATGTGAAGCTGAGAGAGCAACTATCATTCCCTGGGGTACCATGTCGACCTCATGAGAATATAGACAAATGAGATGTTTGGTTGATTTATCTAGGCATTCTTCCCAAGCAGTTGTCATCAGAAGATTATGGAGAGGAGGATATCTTGGCCCCATGCTCGGGATTGTTCTTAGTTAGGGATTGGTGATCTTGTATGCTGTGAAGCATTTACAGCCTTGCTCATTCTATAACCATGCTGTCTTTAGGAACTGCCTTTGCACCAACATCTGGTGCACCATTTGGTATTTGGTACGTGGAGAGGAAATCTTCACTTAAGAAGTTCTTGCTGAAAAGCTGAGCTTTCCCTATGAAAATTTCTGCATCTGAGACTGTTGCTCTTTTCAGTGTCAATGCAGGGAGCTGGGAATCGCACTGAGAAAGGCCTAACTACCGAGGATGCGATATGTACTGTTGGTGGTGTCTGACTTTGACTTTGCATTGATTTGCTCTTCTCTTGGACACAGTTCTGCTCACATCCCAACCCATCACCCTTCTTTCGCTCCTTCATACTGTCTGTGGGATATCCTCTTCATGTGAACCACTTTCAGTTTTGTTAATAGAATCACAGTGCATGAAAATACATTATACCACAATTGTATGCTCAGTGTAAAGACAAAAAATTAGCATTTAAGGACGTTTTCAAGTCGAGCTTCTGGGATCATTTTTGTTCAACCATAGAAACCACCAAAACTTTTAGTAAATACCTAATTACACAACATAATGTGGGCAGAACCACATAAGTATGAAGATTAGTGTAGCACGGGCCTTAGAGATAAGTCTACAGAGTGTGACGCTCATGTTAGAAAAGGCCAAATGATTTACCCAACGTCATTCAGCTAATTAATGGCAAAGAAAACAAGAGAATAATTGCCCATATGCTCAGTTTTATGTTTTATATATCATCTAAGACATTAGGAAGCAAGCAAGGCTCTTTAAATATATAAAGTATCTGAGCAGTTAATTTTCAGGAGGGGAAAAATAGGATCACTAGCCAACAAGAAAGTTACATGCACAGTTCCAGATGCAGCGTGGGGTGGCTGAGACGGAAGCAGAAGTACATATGGGGACTTAAGGGGGATAGCAGGAGGAACCCTGCCACACCTGGTGAAGGCTGAAAGGCTTCTTGTGATGACGGCAACTAAATGGAGCCTTGAAGGAACGTTGAAATTTGTTTGAGTTGCTGTCCACAGTGAGCAATGAAGGTGGGGTCAAAGTTCAAGAACAGCTCGGGAGCTTATAGCTCTTGGCTTTAGATAGGAGTTATCATCCAATAAGAGAAGAGATACAAAATAGCTGTCCAGGAAAGGACTATACCGTGTGAACATCAGTGGTTATTTGACTACCAATGGGAGGCCAGCTGGCTTTAGAAATATGGCTATGGATAGCCAAAGAGCCAACAATTAGCCTAACAGACAACTGAATACTTCGTGTGAGTTTTTTTCCCTCAGTGATATTTTATATAGTCACATATACTATTTCCAAGAGGGACTAATTCATGAGAATCATGATACCTAATTTATTTTATATATATATAGGACGTTTGGGTGGAGTCAGTGGCCCATAAGAGATTGTGCATAGATTGAAAGATAGCAAAGGTATTGGCCTCCAATATGTATATATTTTCAAGTTTTATTTATCAGTATGTTTGTGTGTCTGCATGTACAACACATGGCCCCCTGCCCTTGAAGGTCAGAAGAGGGTATTAGAGGCTCTAGTTGTGGAGTCACAGGCACTTGTGAGTGACCATGTATCCCTGGAAGAGCTGCAGATGCTCCTAACCACAGGGTCATCTCACTAGCCCATCATCCTATTATTAAATGTTGTGTGGACAGGAGTGTGATGCTTCTGGAAGCAAGTAAGAAGCATTCGGAGACGCACAACACAAACCTGGAGAGTTTTGACATCAGAGGAACCAAAATAAATAAGCAAATAGAAGTCAAGTTCATACTACAAGACTCGACCAAAGATAAATTGCACTATACAAAAAATAAAGTACAAGTTGCTTGAGAGTGTGTGCATGTATGTGGAGGCAAGAGGAAAATTGTAGGTGTCATTCCTTCTCAGATACCACCTACGTTGTTGGTTGTTCTTTTTTTCTTTTTGAGACAGAAGTTTTCACTGGAACGTGGGTTGCTTGTCAATTAGGCTAATTCTCTTGAATTACAGGCCAGTGCCATCATTCCCAAATGGTTTACCTGTGTACCAGGGACTGAACTCAGTCCTCATGTTTGTAGTGCAAGAATTTTACTTAGTCATCTCTCCCATCCCTAAAATAAATTTTACATGGTATAAAATTATTCCTTTTTATCAGTTAGAAACTCGCTGCCTGTTTTATTGAGATGAGTTTCTGTTGTTATCATACCAAACTAGCTGATTCAATAACTACTTACTGAACCAATGACAGAATTTTCACTGAAGATTGGACAAAATAATTTTGGTTGTTTTCTATGAACTCTGAGTATAAAAAAAGGTCTACATTTTTTCTTTGATCCACATCTACCTGCAAAACCGAGACACAGCTTTTTGCCTTATGTAAATCAAAATCATTAAAGCCTGAAAATGTGCTAACTCTTACAAAGTTGGGTTTAATGATTTTTTCCTGTCTAGTTACTTTACATGGCACCAGTAAATGATATAAAGATTCTGACTGGAGAAGAAAGAAATGCTATTGGGGCGATATGTGAGAAATTGTATGTTGAATGCCTTGCTATAAGTCTGGATGTGTAGGACGCAGGCAGCCCAGGAGTCCTGCATTTCTGTTTGTGGTACCTAGGATAGAAGTGGAGCCTTATGCATGCTCTGCAAACACTCCACCCGTGAGCTGCATTCCAGGCCCAATCTTACCACATATCCCAGATCAAAACATTTTCAGTTCAAAGGCAAGCTGAATGGTTCTTGCAAGGCATGCCTACATAGAATTATTTGGGAATTAATCTCAAAGAATTAATTTTTCTCTGTCAAAAATATGTTCAAAGAAACACTGGTGTGAAAGGCAATAGAGTTGAATTATTGCCACGGTAGTGTTCTATTTCCTTGAAATCCTGCTATTCTGGAGAGATTGTCAAAATTATCCTCTTAGGCATTCCATCTTGTGATAAATAGCACATACCCCAACCTCGGTCATACATACATAACTACCGCTGGAAGGGGGAGGATGAAATGGAGACAGAGGAAGAGGGAATTAGAGATGGCTGGTTCCTCTTATGTCAGCAAGCCTTACAGGTATGCCTTTGCAGCCTGTTTTGGTCTGCTGCCTGCTATAGCAATGTGAAAAGAAATGTAATTATATTCCGTGAATAATTGATATAAACATACAAAGGGTGAGCCACAATCACTCTTTTTTTTTCATCTCTCCCTTTCAAGGCTCTCTTTTACAGTAGCCGCATGTTGGTTCTAGGCTGAGTACCACTTGTATCAATTAAACAGTAACTAATTCAAGTACATTTGCAATCTGTGTTTGAAATGCCAGCCCATACAGTAGTTACCAATTAAGCATGAGGCAGATTAATGGATGTATTGTTCTCCTGGGCGAACTCCAGCACATTATCATTAAGTGTGTAAGCCCCAGTGAGTGAAAGACTTCCATTTTAAATGGAAAGGAAAACACATGCTTACCAAAAGGAGAGAAAAAAAAGAAAGTTGGGTGTTTTATATCATACAGAATTATTTAACAGAGAAGGTGCCGGGTAGCCTTTTGAAAGGAGAGGAAATTATGACTGTTTGGTGGTGTTCTCCATCTCTTTATTTTGTGTAAATTTGATCAATGGAGAAATACAGAGGTGCAGGATACAGGGAGAATAATAGGGAACAAACCAGCTAGACAAATGGCTCTTGTAAGTTCACAGCTCCTAAAACAGATGTTCTTTCAAGCTGGCTACAGTATACTATTATCTCCAGAAATTCCAAAGATCAAAGAGTCACCACGGAGGTTAAAAACACAGCATATTCACCCTGCACAAACTCTGGACCTCAACCTACCACTGTCCACTGAAGGCACCGTTCCAGGCAAAGTTGAGGTGTACATGGAAACCAGTGAATTGTCAGTGTGACAAAACACCTGAAGGAAATCAGCTTAAGGAACAGAGGCTTATTTTGGCTCAACAGTTGGAAGCTTTTAGTCCATGGTTCGCTGGCCTCATTACTTGTAGGCTTGTGGTCAGGCAGATGTAGAGACCGTGGGAGCATAGAGCCTGCTATGTTACATGCTAACAGCCAGGAGGCAGACACACACATTCCTGACCTATTTCCTCCAACTAGGCACCAACCCCCTTAGTTCCTACCATCTAACAGAGCACCACAGGCTGGCTACAGGTCATGTCTCTTTCAGCTGTAACAGTCCATTTTAAATTACAGGCTTATGATTTTTAAAACCGGGTGCAATTGTTGCAAATGAAACTGTTTTCATCACTCACTAAGCATTTAATGACTGTTGTAGCTTCTGTCAGAACAAGTGGAAAGAGGCTGAGTATTGAAAAGGAGGCAACTCATTTTAGTTCTGTGGCACGCCTACATTTCTATGGACAACTCATTTTAGTTCTGTGGCACGCCTTCATTTCTATGGACGACAACTCATTTTAGTTCTGTGGCACGCCTACATTTCTATGGACATCTCTGTGCCTCCTCTCCCTCTTTACCTCCACCTTCTTATGCTGCCTCATTAGACCTACAATAAATCCAATGCCTAAAGAGACGTTTAACTTTTCCTTAGTAAAGAAAAAATCAGTTTATTCTATGTGCCATTTTCCCAGTGCACGTCATGTGGTTAAACACATGGTAACCAAGTTCCCACAGAGTCTAAAATCTGTAAGACTCGCACAGCTAACTGTATGAGTTCAATATATAACACTTAAAAATGACCTACAGGGCCAACTCTTTTCTAAATGTATTTACAGGCCAAGCTTTCATTTATTCCTTTTTTTCCCCTCCCTAACATCCTCAGACATCAGACATGGTGCTGCTAGCCAGAGTCTGATCCTGCGCTGTGCTATCTGCATGTCTCACAAGGGTGCTTAAAATGGTAGTTCATGAATGTGTTCACTGCCCCTCTTTGGACTCAAAGGACTCTTGCCTTTACCCCTCTCTAGAAAATTGACATATGCCTGTTCTTTGTCCAGAGCCCTGGAGGACTCTGTTCCCTCTCCAGAGAGGAACAGAATTATGGATGGAAACAGATACCAGCAAAACCTTGAGGGAGGTTGTCAGTATGTGCGCCATCTCCTTCAACACATGGTGGCATCTCTAATTTTGCAAAGGATGTGTCTGTCTGACATGTGTATGTGTGCGCGCACGTGCACCTGTCTGATTTTACTGTGGAATATAAGACTTGCCTCTGCTATAGTTGCCTTAAATGCTAATTCAATGTAGATACTTCCCTCTTTGCCTGTCATTTCTGCTCTCTGTGCATTTAAAATGGAGCTAGTCTGCCAAGATGTTCAGAGTCTAGGTGTTCATAACTCACTCAGGCACTAGAATCGTCTTGGTATTAGCCTCTAGTCTTCTCTCTAGGTCTTGTCTCTCTAGCTTCCTCCCTTCCCCTGTTGTTGGCCCATTCGTAGAGGAAAAGAAAATGTTGAAATCAATGAGAATAAATTGCCACATGGTCTTTATTGTGGAGCCAAGGTTTCTACGGAAAAATCCTTGTAATCAGAGAAGAGGGAAGATGAGATTAAACTGATTAAACTGAGAAAGTCACAAAAGGACAACTTGAAAGATTAGCCAGCCGGTGCCAGCAAAGCGCAGCTCCGTGTGCATGCTAAGTGGAATCGTCCTCCCCACTATCAGCCCCTCCATCGGGTGACCTTCGGCTGCAGGAGCACAGAACTGCCTGGTCCAAGGAGATCCTGGAGACTGAAAAGCCAGAATGCGGGTGATTACAGCAGGTATCAATATTATTGTAATGATGCTTCGTTATCATTAGGGAACTTAATTACCTAGGGAAAGTGAGAAGGCCCAAAGAGTCGCAAGCCTGCTGTGGTCAGCATCTGGATGAGGGCAGATATTTGAGAGTGGCCTCAAATCCAGGGTCGAAGGGATCAGAGACTGGGAGGAAGACTGGAGTTCAGTAAGAGCTGCCATGGGCGTGGTAGAATGGCAGAGCAAATGGCCATGGAGGTGCAAGGAATGGGGTGTGTGCTTGTGAAATGCCCTCTGCATGACCCGCCAAGTGCCAGAAAGAAACTAATAGATAAAAATGATAAGACAAATGTATCCTCTAACTGTATGCTAAAATTACTAAATTTCCTTAAAATACTGATTAAAAGTCCATTAAAATTAGGATAATGATCTTAACCCCCCCTCTCCTGTATATTGTATATAATGAGTGTGTTTGTGTGGATGTGTTTTGTTTGTTTTGCCTGTGTGTTTGTATGGATGCGTGTGTGTGTGTGTTGTATGTTATGACTGTGTTTTTGTGAGTGTGTTTTGTTTTTATGTATGGGTTTGTGTGTGTGCATTGTGCATTTTGATTATGTTTGTAGGAGTGTATTTGTTTGGCTTTTTGCATGTGTGTGTGTGTGTGTGATGCTGGTGATGAACAGGGCCTCTGATGCTAGGCAAGCTGTTTACCACCAAGGTATACTTTCAGCCCTTAGCAATTTTTTAAATAGAAAGCTAACCTTATATTCAACCCCTCTCTTGCCTTCCATACTCAATCTCTCTCTCTTTCTCTACCTCCTCTCTGTGTTTTTCCATAGAGGTTTGCATTTCTTGGCCTGGCTGGTGTGACACTGTAACTCTGAAATTCAGAGTTCAAACAGGGCACATGTTTTCTTTTAACTCTGACCCCTAAATAGAAACTGAACATTTCAGAACACTCCAAGCCTGTGGTTGTGCTGAGCCAAATCAGAATTAGCCCCATTTACTGACCTACAAACAGACTGACCCAGCCCGACCTGCCTCTGTCCAAGTGCTGGGCAAAATCCATACTTCCAAATTTAATGAATCAAATTTCTTTGCTTTTTTTTTGGAGTAGGTACAAAGGACAAAGGCTGAAGGAAACTTCAAACTGAATGAGGGAGTCCACACAGTTACCATCCACATCTGCAGGCTTTCTTTTACAACTGACCATACCACAATGCCACAGTTGTTTCACTGGCCCACTTAAAGATAAGAGGAGAAAAAAAAGAATTCAAAAAATCTGCCACAGGAAAATGCGTTTGGAAGAGAGAATGTGAAAAAGTTAAGGTCACAGTCGGGTGTGGTGAAGTTTCTGTAAACACTTGCAGATGGATTTGGAAGTCAGTCGTGTTGCAGCAGGCCTGGCGTTTCTTATTCCTTGGCACTTTCCTTTACTCCTGGAAGCCTCAGTGTCTTGGCATATGGAAGTACACAACTATAAAGGCCTGGGAAGGTTAGCCATGATGCTCTCCTGAGAAAAAAAAGGCAGCTACATAATGTTATCTAAAATCTTAAGTCTGGCATGGTGACACACACCTATGATCTAGTATTTAGGAGGCTAAGGTAAGCATTTGAGTCCCTCACAACAGGTCCATCACAGAAAGATCCTGATTCAAAACAAACAAACATTCTCTGACTGAGAGGTGGGAAGTGAAGGGTGAACACTGTTTTATGTTGGCCCAAGAGAATACTTTAGAATTCACAGTTCAAATGTGACAGCAGATTTTCTAAGGGTATAGTTCTCTGCCGGGTTTCTGCCAATACAAGGGACACTCAGGCATCTCCATGCCTGATAGTAGAGGCTGACTTTGTCCTGGACTTCAGAGGCATAAGAAAGAGGCCCTAGTGATTATTCTTTAAACCCTCATTTCTCGATCTGAGATTAAAATAGTCCCTGTGAACTAAACATGTGTGTACAGTGGTAACACTTATCTATGGGAAATGTTACAAGATCACAGTGGATGTCTAGTACAAAACCACATTTACACATTTGTTTCTTCTATGAATGCATACCTATGAGAAACTAAAATTATCAATTTATACTTATCTATAACTGATTAGTTGTTTATTTCTAAAATTTTCCATGTGTTTTCTGACCACCTTGGACAATGGGCTGACAATACCACAGGAAGCAAAACTGCAGGTAAGAAAAACTCTTGCAAGGGAGTCATCTTTGAAACATACAATAGTTCACTATCTTAGCCTCCTTTTCTCTTTGGTGCTTAACCTGAATGTTACCATTGTAACGAAATCGGCTCTGACTTCCTGTGTCAGGATCCAGGAAAATGTACCTGTCAATGCTCTCTCATAGAGTAGGGAGAGGGTTATTAGATCATCACATGATGACATTCTCTCATAGACTGAGTAGAAGAGGGTCATTAGGTCACATAGTGACATTCTCTCATAGACTGAGTAGGAAAAGGGTGATTAGAAGACCACATTCTCTCATAGAGTAGAGGGGGGTCATTAGATTATTCACATGATGGCATTGTCTCACAGAGTAGGGGAGGGTCATTAGATCATCACATGAGATTCCAGGTACTCTTCATTTCTTCCTCAGCTGAATGGTCTCAGGAGAGTGGGAGATTAACTGAAGGGACCCCATCCATGTGGCTTTCAGGATGCTGTCACTCGTGCCCAGGTGGAATCTTTCAGACATGGAGCTATTTTGTCATCACTCACTTACCTCCCTTCACCTATTCTCCTCTAAGAAAGCTCAATGAGCTCACTCCTTTTCCAGGTTGACCTTGAGAGGAATCATTCCTCTGGTTTGCATTTGGTGCCCTATCTGGAGTAAGTAGATGTTTATTGCCATCTCTCCAGGAAAACTCAGCATTAACTTACTGATTGGAATCTAGTTTTCATCCCAGATACCAATACTTCAGCTTGCCTGTGTGTTTTATACCCTGGCTTTGGTAATTTCTCTGCTCCTCATATTCTGATTTATTTGATTCTGAACATGTCCTAGGTTTAATTTTCTGGACTATAATAAATCCTAGGGAAGTACGATCCATTGATCCATGCTTTGTGATTATTCTACTGTGCTAACCGGGTTTTGGGCCTCTGTTTTTGATGATACTACATCCAGAAAACTCATTTTCTCACATTTTTCCAACCAAGATCAGGTTTTAATACACTGGACCACAACCCACAATATTAACTACTTTTGGGTGAAGCTTAGCAATCTTTTGTCTTTTGTTCATAAGTGTAATTGTCAAGGTCCCTAAACACAATTCATTGAGTTTGAAAGTGACAGGTAACCTGAAAACTTTGACTATATGATCCCCCTTTCTTTGGGCCTGGGGCAAGGCAGTATATTGTGGTGGGAGCTCAAGGCAGATGTTCAGAGCTGAATAAAACCACACACCTCATGATTAGGAAGCCAAAATGAGAAAGAAAAAAAGTCAAGACACTGATTTCCCTTTTAGGAGGAAAATTCCCAGTGTCTGACCCCTCAAAGGCCCCACATCTCAAAGGTTCCACCTTCCGATTGTGCTTCCCAGGGTGCAAGCCTTTGACACATGAACTTCCGGGCATGTGTATCCACACTGCAGCAACAGAAATCTTGAGAGTTGATGGTTGGGCCTCTATAAGGCATGACATAGAACTGAAAGTTTCACAGTAAGCTTGCTTTTAAATTTAATTATTAATATTTTCATTTCTATTGTGTACATTTGAGATTTGCAAGATGTTATGGGACACAGGTAACTTAGAAAATTATGATCTATAGACATGGGGCACAGAGTGATGCTTTATTATATGTATCCCATGTGGAGTGAATAAGCAAGCAATTAACGTATTTATCACTCACTCATCTGAAAGACATTTAGAACGGCTGCAGAAATCACAAAGGCCTCTGCAGCTGTGTTTACTAGCAGGAAAAAAAGATGAAATTTGGGGAAGGCCACACTTTGCATGAAATAGCAAAACTGAGAAGCAGCCTCAGGTGCCGACGAAAGTGTGGCTGCTTCAACCTGCTCAGCACTTGATATGCGGCAAAGGCTGGGGACGGCAGTGAAAATGACTGAGACTTTCCTTCTGTGTCCCAACCTTATCACAACATGGGCTGGGGAAATGTCCTTTTCCTCTTGTCTGGAAGAATTTGTGAATGACTGGAGTCATCAGTCCAGCATTAAGAGTCTCTGAATGGTGGCAGTCATTTTTCAGAGAGTCCAACATTAAGGACAGAGGGTTATTTCTACACTGAAAGCTAAGCTTAATTCATTGGTTCTATTTAATCCATGAGACTGTATCATATATTATTTATGGAGACATTCTTGACACATGATTATCTTATTTTGTTTTACAATCAGGAAATGGTCTTACTAATCACATACCCCATGAACTTTTTTCTGGCTTTAGATTCATGATACTTCTACCCCAGTCTGAGAAAGGAAATCCTATTTCATTACCCCTGAAGACTATATTCAGATTCTGGGACTCTTACAGATATCACAGAGATCCCAAATGTTGCAACTATGTTGGTCAACAGAAATGTCCATGACACTAGTCATGTGGCCTTCTCCTCCTAAAATGCTAATTTACATCTTAAGACCTTCAGGTGGACATCACACCTCAGACCCTAGGTCCAGGGGAGGAAAAACAGTTTCTATCATTATAGGCATTTGACTTAACTAGTAAGGGACTGGCAAGATTGTGACACATGGCCACCATTCAAAAGTTAATTGTAATAGCATGTACAATGTTATAAACACATAAGAAATTAATCCTGTATAATGTGTTCATAATATTTTTGAAATGAAGGATAAAGTTTTACAAAAAGACAGTAAAAATCCCTAAATAAATTCTATGTTTGTTCATGGCTAGTGTTCATATCCTTAATACATCAGTTTCCTCCATAATTGTTTAAAATTTCCTGGAAAACTATCAGGAGAAGAATTTTTCAAGGAATTTGAAATGTTAATATAAAGTCTATATGCATAATTGAAGGCTAGAGTGCCCCTAAAATCACAAAGATGACAAGGCAGGAGTGGTGGCCCTACCAGGTATCAGAATGTATTATAACAGTGGGGGTGACCCAAGAAAGAGAAGCATACAAGCCGGGAGCAGCAGCAGTGCACCCCTGCAATACTAGCCCTTGGAGGGAGGTAGGAGGATCAGAGTTCCAAGGTCATCCTGAACCTGCCTCAAAACGGAGGAGGAGGAGGTATTAAAGGAAAGAAATAATCTTGAATGCAATAAAGAAACAGCTATATAGAGATATGAATACATATACATAGAAACTTCTTTTGTGGCAGAATATACTGGAAACCATAGTGGAAAGCATGAACAGTAAGGTAAGTCAAACTGGGCTAATTGGTTATTGCTGTGTAACAAGAAAACTAACAATTTGCATCACATCTTACCAAGGAACTGAAGTCAATTTCAAGTTTCTTTAAGACTTGAGTTTGAAAAGGAAAGAAAATATAGGTCAATTATCTACTTTACTCTAGAATGTGAGAGCAATAAGCCCGATGCAGAGAGAAACAAATAGGCAAATTTGACAGTGGGGAAACCAAGAGTTTTTTTTTTTTATCTGAAGATTCACAAACAAAAAGAAATTATTATGTAGATGCTGGGACACTTGCACCAAATATCACTGAGAAAATTGTACTGCAGGGAATATTTGGGTAAATTCTACAAATGACCAGAAAGACCAGCAAAGTAACCCAGAAGCTAACAAACCATGCAAGTAGGTAGCTGTGTGGCCAATGGAAGGAGAAATATGTGCTGCAAGATTTAAGCCCACTGTGATTAGGGCAGGGCATAGGGAGAAAGCAAGAAGCTGCTTCTGCTTATCAGAGTATCAGGGGTTATAAAAACTAATGTCACCAAGTGTTAGCAAAGATGCAGAGAAGCAGGACCAAACATGCAAAGAGGCACAACCAATCAAACAGAGAGGTAGGGCCAAAGTTAGAGAGAATTAAGATGAGTATCTAATGTTTGGGTACAAATGAATGTAATTACTTGGGGGATGAGAAGTTCGATATTTCTTGAAAAGTAGACCACATTTGTGGATTTATTCCATCCAGAACTCTGCCAGATAAATACCTCAAATATGCATAAAATAAGTAGACTACCAAAGTGCTCCTGGAAGGATCCTTTGTAATCACATAAAAACTTAAGCAGCCAGTAACAAAAGTATAAGTGAATCGCAGTGTTTGTGATACAACAGAACTTCCAATATTTTTCACAAAATGACACAAATTCAAAAAAATTCTCAGAGAGTTGGCTCAGTGTCTAAGAACAGCTGCTGCTCTTACACAGACTCAAGTTCAATTCCCAACACCCACATGGCAGTTTACCTGCCTGTAACTCCAGTTCAAAGGGATCTGACACCCTCTTCTGGCCTCCAAAGGTAGCAGGCACGCATGTAATGTCCAGGTATATATACATGCAGCCAAACACTCATTGACATGCAATAAAAACAAATAACCCTTAAGAAAAATACAGAAGAGATTGACTGTAACTTATATGTGGGATGTCTGTAGCATGAATAAAGAAAACCCTGAGACTGATATTGATGTAAGATATCCATGGAATGACTTTGCCCAAGAAAACACTGATCTGTCCAAGATACCCCTAGTTCCCACCCATAGTACCAGCGTAGTTACTAACTGCCTTTTTGCATTTTCAAAACATTATAGTTTTAACAACAGCTAAATATTTTTTTTTATGGAATTCTGCAAAGCAAAATGTGTTGCATTTCATTTTTAAGTTGTAAACACGGTTAAGGATAAAATGTAAATATTTTTAAACCTGAGAAAACTTGAATATCAGCAAAATAGCTCAAACTTTTATGAAGAACTGGGAGTTGTTCCCATTGTTAAGGTATTTTTTATGAGGTAAAACTCTGATTTTCTGCAACTGTAAAATGAAAGCACATCAAAGGTTTCATTTAATTCGCTTACTAGAGAGGAAGCCAGTAAGAAGGTAAGTGTAAAGAAGATCAACAGAGTAGACTCAAGCATAGGAGGTGAGAAATGGTAAAAGAAAAACTGGCCCATGGTGAAAGGACAGTAAAATGCAACATTTGGATTCATTTCTCGCATATGGGAAACATAGCAATCGTACCCCCAAGGGGAAAAACCTATTTTCACCTCTATGAACAGAGCCACTTAAATTACCATCAGCCCAAACCAACTTCAGAGCCATCTAAAGTGACTTCCGTTTCCACGGAGTTGCACAGGAGCTCAAAGTCAGTGAACGCTACACACAGATGTTGACAGTGAAGTCTGATGGCCAACACCAGGCATTCATTGAAGGCCTGCTGGAGAGTTCCCTCCCCTCTTTGAAGTAACTGAATCTAACCCACAGCCTCTTCCACTCTGTCCTTTTGTGTTGTAGAATAATATTTTTGTACACTGTGAAGATATCTCTTTGCCAAAAGACCTTCTGATTGGTTCAATAAAGAGCCTGTAGTTAGGCAGGAGGGAATAAGTGGGACTTCTTGGGAAAGAGAGGAACTAGAGAAGAATCTAGGCAAGTGAGAGATGACAGTGAGATACATACAGAATAGGGGTGAGGTAAAAGCCACATGGTAGAACATAGACAAATAGAAATAGGTTAAGGTAAGTTATGAAAGCTAGTTGGGAATAAGTCTAAGATAAAGGCTAAGTTTTCATAATTAATAAGTATTCCATGTCATTATTTGGGGGCTAGTTATACCAAAAAGAAAAGTCTGACAAATATCGAATACACATTTGTAACCTCTCTTTGCCAAATATTTCATATATCTCCAGATATACAAATGTATAAAATGGCTAAAGTCAAGCATTTATTGCTAATAAACCATACCAAGTGACTAAGACAAAAGTTATATGTATAATTTCATCATTTGTTAAAGACAGAAGCAACTTTGGTTACTACTGACAGAAATGTGATTTTTTTTGTTTTTACAGAAAGGACCAATTTTCACTGACCTTTTGATTCTGCATGATGTAGAACATTTCTTGGTGTTTTTCAAAGTCTATTGGTTGGTTCTATAGTCTTCAATGTTGAGACCACCACTCTGTTATAAATATATAATTTAAGATGGCAGAAATATATTGGGGGCTATTTCAGGAATTGAAGAAGTTGTGTCTTAGTTCCAAGTCAAATTTATCAAATGCGTTTTTATGAAAGCGAATAACACAGACAGCAATTTTTAAGTAAAATATGCAAAGGCAATATTACATGTAGTTAAAAGCATGTTATTTTGATACATACTGAGGAATACTGGGAGAAAACTATTGTCTTTGTTTTTCTATAACTATACATATCCTTATAGAAGCAGAAAACAGTATGCAGTGTGAGACCAGATGTTCCATATAGCATTGGTTGGTGCTGTGATGGTATCTGCAGAGAAATGTGTGCATGCTGTAGATTCAACCACAAGGATGCCGTGAAGCCACACTGCCCCGAAGGTAAGTGCTGACAGACACGCCCAAGAGTCGTGATGCATTTGAGTTTCAGTTAATGTTTGGTCCTTGCATGCTGAGACACCATTCGCTATTGCCAGGTTGTGCACGCTTGCATCCAGTTACAGGATGCTGCAGTGGTGGATAATGGGTGACTCACAGTTTAAAGAGCTGAGCTTTGTAGTGTAGTACTTCAGTTTATTATGGTTTCCATTTTGATGTCGTTAGGTTTAACAACAGGAATACCCAGGGAATGAAACATTGGTGCTAAGGGTTTCCAATGTATTTGAAACATGTTTTGCATATTTTCCATCTTTCTGTCTGTGCCCATGCACTATGCATATGATGTTTGCCTAACCCTCCTTTCAAAGTGCTTATTACTATTGTTTCCATTGTGCCACACTTAGAACAAGCACTGCCCTGTACTAGAGCATTTCTCTTGCTGTCTCTGCTGCTGTTAGTTGAGCCCTCTTCAAATGCCCACAGCTTCTTCTGTCTGCCGTGAAGCGGTTTTGCCTTCACACTTTCCTAGATCCCTGGGATCCTGAGATACACGGCACGCTAGTAGTAAACTTCATTTCTGTTTCTTATTTATACTTCCATGATCCAAAAGCATATAGTATTGATAATTTACAACTAGTAAATCCAGCGCTTCCAATTGTGCAGCGACATCCCATGGTCACGGTCTATAAATGGGACAACCTCACCGCCTCACAGCACATTCCTCACAGGAACAGAGCATGCTGCTGTCTGGAAAGGCATGACGACTTGTCAGGGGGAGTTTTCTAGGGCAGTGCTGGGGCCAGTGCTGCCATTACCGCTGCAGTACATGATTTTCCCATGGCAGTAAAACATTTAGGCTGAGAAATAAGAGGATTAATGGGGTAGAGGTCTCCAAATTTGAGAATTCGACTTTACTCATTTATTTATTTTTCCATAAACTAGCTTGTCTTACGAATCTAAGACCTTACGCCTTCTACAAGTATGCCATCCATCATGATAGAAAGAAATCCATTTAAACACACATTGCTTAAAGGAAACATGCACTTTAAAAATTCATAAAATTGAACTTTCAAAGCATGTATCTTATGCCATCTCCATGCTTTAAAACGTTTTCAAGCAAAAATTGCTAACATGATTTCAAAATAAAGATGAGATAAACAGAATAAGTAAACCTGTGTGTAATTAAAATCTCATTGAAATTTTGGGTTCTGTATATATGTACCACTTTTATTCAATGAAGACAAATGATTGCTCTCATTTACTTTTTAGAAACTTTTTTTCTAAAAACAATGTTCTAAATTATCATTAAAATTTTATTACCTAGCATTATTTTGCTTAGATATCATATACACACAGTAAAAATTATTGTACTGAATTAAAAGATTCTGCTTGATTAGTTTTGAGAAATGTGTGTATTTGTGTAACTTTCACACAAAGCAAAATGAGTCATGTGCCAAAATTTGTAATACAGGGGGCTGATGAGATGGCACACCAGCTAGGAATATTTGTTGTTCTTGCAGAAGACCAGAGTTTGATTCCCAGAAACCACTTAGTAGCCCACAACTATGTGTAAATCTAGTTCCAGGGGCTCTGACATCTCTTCTGGCCTCCACGATACTAGGCATACATGCAGGCAAAAACGTGTGTGTGTGTTTATGTATTTGTGTGATAAAAATAAATAAATCTTTTAAACGTCATAAGTAGGAGACTGACGAGATGTCTCAGTCTGTAAAATGCTTGTCTTGAAAATGTGAGAACCTGAGTTTGGTCCCCAGAATCCATTTATTTATTTACTTCTATATTTATATGAGGCTGTACACAATGATCCACTTGAAATCCCAGTGTTGTGGAGGTAGAGATGGGAGGATCAGTGGGACACATTGGCCAGCTAACCCCGCCTCATCCAACTGAGATACTCTTCAAACATTGAAAAGAAAATGTGGGCCACACCTACGGAACCACAACTACAGACAAGCTCATGCATATGCATTCATACATATGAACATGTGTGTGTGTGCATGCACATATATCCACATCTTAAATAAATAGGGATTTTTAAATTTTTCTTTTGCCTTATTGTCATCTCTGGAACAAAGATGAGACCTGCTCATGTTAACCCCTTAGACTTATGATTTATTCCATTATTTATATTTTAAATTTAAATTATCATATTTTCATTCTTAGAAATTTGTCTTTAAAGGTATCCAGTTGTCCTATAATCCACTACCCTTTATTCACATTTTAATCTCATTTTAAAAAATACAATAGACGTACTTGTTTCTGGGTCTGATAACCACATTGTTCTCTTGTGTTTGACTCTGAGCTCTGTTACTTTTTCTTATGGTCTCTGTTCTGTATTTTTTATTTTGCTTCATGGTTATCTTTACTGTAACAAAAATCTGAGGCTGGGTAATTTACAAAGAACAGACATATGCCTCTCACTGTTCCGAAGCAGAAGTTCTCCAGCCTTCTTGTGTTTTCACAAGACAGAAGGCAGAAGTGCAAAACTGACCTGCACTGTGTCCTGAGACAGTGAGAGTGGGCCAAGCCCTCTTGCAAGCTCATTTTGTAGTGGTTAGTCCTCCCATGAGGAACTCTGCTGTCATGACCTAAATGCCCCCCTCAGCTCTGCCTCCCAATCGTGTTGCATTGGGGATAAAGCTTCTAGCTAATGAGTTATGGAGGCAACAAAAGTATTTAAGCCACAGAAGTGCTTGAATTTCTCAACGTTTAAAGTTTGAAAAACTTTGAAATGATCTGTGTCATTGCCAGACAACTCTTTGAGAATTCCACTGGTCTACAATAATTCTTAGCTTGAAGGTTGCATTCAGATCACCTACATTCTATGGATTCAGGATACAAACTGACACAAAGACTGACTTCTCATACATTCTCAGAGTAGGTATCTTTTCCTCTCATTTTGAAGTTTGATTTACCTTATTAATCTACACTTTTGGAGCCCAAGATCGATAAGGCTTCTAAGTAGACTCATTTTGGGTGTGTCCCAGACTTGTTTGCAAGATTCTAAAAGGTGGGTACAAACATAGCTGAGTTTTATGTCCTTCAACAAATGTCTTTAGATTAAATCTGGAACTGATATCTACATAGCCTCCTGCTTTTCCAGTATCACTTTGTATAGAAGACTAGGCTCTTCAAAGAATCAACAGTACACCCATATAGAGAGTGTGTCTTACTAAGAATAACTGACACTTGAGGCTTGCTATGTCCAAGATCTGCTCAGGTATGTGGCAGACAATTGATCACTGGAAGAGCTGCCTATTTTTCTAGAAGTCAGTTTTCTCCTGTTAAAGAACTCAGCTGATTGGATGAGGCCCCCATCATTATGGCAGGTAATCTGATTAACTTCACATCTACTGACTGAAAGGATAGTCAGAAGTAAAAATTGTATCAGAGAAACATCCTAGGTCATATCTTTAAATATATGTGTATCATGGCTTGAGTTGACACGGAATTAACCATTATACTTGGCTTTAAAACTTCCTTTGTACAGAAATATTATCTTAATAGCCCAAATATGGGAGCAACCAATATTTCCGTCAATAGGGGTGAATGCATAAACAAAATATGGCATGTCCTCACCATGAACTATTATTGAGCCATTAAAACAGAATGAAAGGTACCACCACAACTGACATACAAGGACATCTGTGCAACTATGTTCATAGCAGCATTATATGTAATAGCCAGTACCTGGAAGCAACCTAGATGCCCCACAACTGAAGAGTAGATAGAGAAAATGTGGTACATTTACATAATGGAGTACTACTCAGAGGAAAAAAACAATGGGATCTTGAAATTTGCAGGCAAATGGATGGCACTAGAAGAAACCATCCTGAGTGAGTTAACCCAGTCACAAAAAGACAAACATGGTATGTACTCACTCCTATATGGATTTAGACATGGATCAGGGGAGTGTTAGCTTACAATCCCAGGGCCAGTGAGTCTGGAAAACAGGGAGGTTCCCAAGAGATATGCATTATACCCCAGAGAAGTGGAAAGAGGCAAGATATCCTGAGCAGATTGGGTGCATGAGGGGAGAGGAGAGGGAACCAGGAAAAAGAGAGGAGGATAAAAAGGAGGGTAGAAGAAGACATGGGGGAGCAGGAAGATTGAGTTGGGGTAAGAATAGAAGAGACCAGGATGAGAGATACCAAAATAGTAGGAGTCATTACAGCTTTGAGGAGAGAGCTGACACTAGTGAGATTTCCAGAGATCTACAAGGATAACACCAACTGGAAAACTAATAGTGGAGAGACTACATTAATAGCTACTACCTGATGATAAGGTTGATGATTACCTTATATGTCATCCTAGAACCTTCATCCAGTGACTGATGGAAGCAGAGACAGATACTCACAGCTAAACACTGAACTGACCCCCTGGAACCCAGTGACAGAGATGGAGGAATGATGAGCATAGGGGTCAAGACCATGCTGGTAAAACCCACAAAGACAGCTGACTGGACAAAGGGGAGCTCTTGAACCCCAGACTGATGGCTAAGAAGCCAACAGGGGACTGATCCAGACTCCATGAATGTAGTGCCAGGGAGGAGGCCTCAGAAATCTCTGGGGCCTTGGGTAGTAGATTAGTGTTCACCATGTCATACGAATGAACTTTGGGAGCCCACTCCACATGGAGGGATGCTCTCTCAGCCTGGACACATGGGGAAGGGCCTAGGTCCTGCCCTGGATGAAATGAGAGACTTTAGAGATCCCCCCAAGGAGGGCCTCACCCTCCCTGGGGAATGATGTGGGGATTGGGCTTGACATTTGAAGCATGCATGTTACTAATTTAAATTTTAAAAAGATTAAAGGTGCTAGGTTTGAAAATTCCATATTAAATACTCTATCCCACGAAAGTCTAGGTCAGGTGCATCTATAAACCACACACTCACACACACAAAACATAGGTTAGTGGTTGCATAGCTCTGGTGGCGTATATGTGGCCATGGGAGGCTAAGGGACTTCATTATGAGGTGATGGATAGTATTCCAAAGTTGACTATGTGATGTGTGAGTATATCTGTGAGTACATTGAATTCTATTCCTTAAGTGAATGAATTCTACCTTTTATGAATTAATGAATTATATCTCAGTAATGCTTTTAACAGATAACCAAAAAAACATCAAAGCCAAACCAAAGTAGCCTCATTGAATAGAAGGAGTGGAGTGTTGCTCTTTATTCTTGTTTTCTGAATTTTCCTAATCCCCTCTTCCTGCCTTCTATGCATTCTTCTAGCACATGCCTTTTCTTAAAAATATTTTTATTTGCATTCATTTCTGTGTTGTCTCAATCTTTTCATTTTTCCCTATTTCTTCCTTTTAGTTCTGAGATGCGGTTTTTATTTTCTCCTCGCTTCTATTTTTTTCTTTCTCCTAATGAGATGATAGACTATTTAAATTTAGCCTACTAGGTCAACTTTGAGATGCTAAAGGGAAACTATATGATATCTTCTATAAAATAAACAGTGTTTTTGTGTGTTTATCACTGATCTTGCTCTCATAATGCAGATGGAAGTATTTGACCTTTTAACTCTCCCCTTTCTCTGCTCTTTTAAGTCCAAATATTCACTGTTACCCTTTCATTTAATAGGGTCCAGACTTGTTATTGTTACAGTACAAGATCACCTCTCTTCTATTTCCCTCTGCTTTCATATTGCCTGTTTCCAAGAGGCTTCCTTCAAGGGGTTCTTGAATAAAGTGTTTGGGGCATCTTGACCTTAAAACTGTATTTTGTTCTTGCTCTTGAATAGTTTTCTGAATATGTAACTCCAGATCAATATATGCCATGTCTCTGCACTTTGAGGATCAAAATATACTATGCCTACTTCTCCTGCTGCTGTTGAAAAGCCCTATTTTTTGGTTGATTAAAAAAAAAACTAACTCTCAAGGGCTGAGAAGATCTTGGAGTGGAACAACACTTGCCACACCAGCCTGGGAACCCGAATTTGGTCCATGAAACCCACAGTGGAAGGAAAGAGATGTCTCTTGAAAGTTGTTTGCCACAAATGGTGTGCTTGCCCACAATCATACACACACAGACACACACCACCTAAACACTAGTAAATACAATAAACAAGTTAGTTAGTAAAAATAATTGCTTCCAATATGACTGCTATTCTTGCTAGTGTATAGGTTTACTGTAATCCATACTTGTCCATTTATTCCTGTTTATGTTGCTTGAAGTTCATTGTTTCCTAAAGTTGAGTATTCTTTTGTACATATTTTCTGAAAATTACCAGCCATCCCACCCCACCCCTAATTTTCTTTGAATTCTCTTTTCCTTTAACTGCCCATTAAATGACTGCTGGGTTTCCACCCACCACATCTCTTAAACTCCTTTATCCTGACTGCCTCTGACTCTTCTTCTTCTGGGATGATTTCCACATGTGCCCACCATAATTCCAGAAATTGTTGCATCTGTCTGAACTGCTACTAAGTCCTTTCCTTTGCAATTTACTTTTAATGATTAATTTCACATTCTAATAGTGTTTTTAATATTTCAATGAGTGGTGACAGCATCTGTACTATATATAACTGAGACTGTCTTTATTAATACTCATTCACTAATTTCTCCAGCATCATCCCTGGGAAATTTCATAGACAAAGTGACATCCATTCCTGCTGGAACTCACAACTCCTGTGACTGCCACAGAGAGGTTTCTTCTCCATCTCTTTGGCCTTTGTGTGGCACTTGGTTTATTTGCCCATGAATCACCCCCATGGGAAATGAGAGAAGTGAAAATAGAGCTGGGAAACCTCATAGGCTCCCTTAGACAGAAATCATGTGGATGACCTAGTCTGTAGAGACATCTGAGATCTGAAAGCTCACAGGGACAAGGGACAAATCAACTCATCCATGTCATTCTTCCCTCCAGTATCTTAAAAAGTATCTTTCTAGAGAACTTAGGAAGATCTATTTCCATTGCATTCACCCAGTCCCAAAGTCCTGAACACTTCCTATCATCATTGATATTCCAATTCCCTGTACCCCAGTCACAGTAGACACAAGTCCAGCAGCAAAGCAGTTCCTGAAGCCCCGTCTCATTCGGCGTCAAATGAGAGAAAAAGCAAATCCCCTCTATTCCCAATGGAGGCAGGAAGGAAAAGCATGCAGTTCCTAGACAGCAATTCACCAAGAAATTGTCTTTATGCTCCAATGCTACCTCCAAACATTCAACAGCCTTGAGCCCAAAGACAGCATAATCATCTGTGGGAATCACTGCCTTCCATAGTATGTCGCATGATGGTTTATTTATTTGTTTTGTCTCTTTGAAGAAGTTGAATCTGAACAGAAACAGTCAGGTGTTTTTATATAGCTGCATCTGAGCGATTACATTCTAGTCATAAACCTGTAATCCTAAGTATACTCTTTTGTGTATATGACTTTGTTCCTGAGATAGGGTGTCATGAAGCCCAGGCTAGGTTTTAATGTGATTTAACGATAACATCATTGGCTCCTTCCTCTACCTCTTTAATTCTGGGATAATATAGATGTCTGCCACCACTTTCAGCTATCGAACAATATATTCTATACATTTGTAGTGGTTTGACTAAGAATGATTCCCCTAGGCTCATTTGAACGCTTAGTTACCAGAGAGTGGCATTATTTGAAAGGATTAGAAGGATTGAAAGGTGTCAACTTTACTGGAGGAAGTATGTCACTGGGAATGGATTTTAAGGTTCAAAAACCCAGTCAGGCCCAATGTTCTTCTTCTGCCTGTAGACCAGGATGTAGCTATGAGCTACTGCATCAGTACCAAGTGTGCTGTCATGATCCCCAGCATGATGATAATGGACTAATCCTCTGAACATGTAAGCAAACTCCCAATAAATGTGTTCTCTTGTAACAGTTGTCTTGGTGATTTTGTCTCTTCACAGCAGTAGAACAGTGGCTAAGGCAATATTAAAATGTTTTAAGTATATTTTTTATATTGTAGATGTCATAAGCATACAAAAAGACAGTTTTAAAATAATATCAAATAAATGTAAGCAAAGGGTTTCATCTTTTCCTTCTACATGTCAGTCTAATACTACCCTTTCTACTTTGGAAACCAGAACTACAAAGGAAATGCTTTATATGTTACTAAACCTATACATTTTTCTCTAGATTTTTCAAATACTGCCACAAGCTTTGGACAGGTATCCTTCTTGGGACTGGAGAGAAGGCTAAGTCATTAAAATCACATACTGCTCTTGAGGTTGGTTCCCAGCAATCATAAGAGGTAGATCACAATTACATTTAATTCCATTTACAATGGCTCTAAGACCCTGATGTGACCTCTGCAGTTACCTATACTTATGGGCACAAACCGAGACACAGGCACACATGCATACACATAATTAGAATTAAATAAATTTTATAAAAAGAGAGCCATTATTTTAACAGGAATTACCCTTTCTCCAGTGAAACTTAATCATTCGGGTGATAGAGAAATCACTGTGGCTACCCAGCAACACACATGCATTGGTGGTTATCTACCCAGCAACACACATGCATTGGTGGTTATCTACCCAGCAACACACATGCATTGCAGGCTATCTACTGCTTCTTCAGAAGATTCTCAAAGGAATTGTTGGATGTGCTTGTTTTTCACAGAGGATTGAGACTTTAAAAATGACACAGCATTGTCTAGAAGACTCAAAGATTCTTCTCCGTGTCTGCTGCTGGCATGTTTCTGAGCTGCTTCTTACACCAGGATTTATATCATTGAAAAACAAGTAAGTGCACTCTATGTTTCTATAAGGAAACCATAGCCATGACTGCCTAAAACCAGAAGTCACCCTTGGCCAGGGATGCATGTCAGCCCATACAGAAATGTAATACAGATGCCCCAGTAGTTTTTATTTAGCTGAGTTGTGTGACTAAAGATAGAATCAGAGTTGTTAATTCACAGAGCAAGAGAGGTTATCTGTAATTGATCTGTTCTGAAACAGCCTATTTCAAGGGATGCCTCCTATTGAAAAAAACAGTTGTTGGTTTGCAGAGGAAAGGTCTGTAAAAACAGCAACCTCAAAGGTTCTTCCCTCCATTGTGTGTCTTCTCTCGTTGAAAGGTAGTAAGATCAGGTTTCCAAGTCAGTGATTGCCAAAATAGCTTCTCTTTCCTGATATCACTGAAGGCATTTAAGTTTTATGAAATTGAGTGCATAAAACCCAGTTATGCACCTCTCTGGCCTTTCCCTGTACCCTGGTTTGACTTGAAGTTAAAAGTTAGTCATATTTTAATTTAGTTTTAAAGTGAATACACACTTTTTGTCATTTGATCTGGGTGTGTTTGGTTAGTTTCTGTCACCTAAATTCCTTCCATCAGATTGGCTTGGGGGAGAGACTGAACTGTGGGATATTTTATTGATTAATGAGAAATGATTGATTAATGATCTAGGGTCAGCACACTGTGTGTTGGGCCACCCTTGGGCTGGTAGACCTTAGCTGTATGAAGAAGCAGGCTAAGCAAGTCATGGAAAACCAGCCAGTAAGCAACATCCCTTCACAGCCTCCACTTCAGTTTCTGCTTCCAATTCCTACATAGAGTTCCTGCCTGATTTCCCTTCATGATAGACTGGAACTGTAAGCTAAAAATAAACCCTTTCTTCTCCAAGTTGCATTTGGTCATGGTGTAAACCATTTGCTCTGCAGAGATTAAATAACACTTTGATAAGTGCTTATAGATTCTACCAGTGCATTTCCATATATTTAAGAAACTCAGAACCTATTTAACTCTTAAATCATAATGACCTACTCTTTTGCTGTGCAATGCTGACTAATATTAGTCAGAACTGGATGAATCATACATCAGCTTCTGGAATAGATGATCCCCCCACCCCGTTTTCAAATGATAGTTAGAGAGCAGAGGGAATTAGCTGAAATGCGGCACTTGCAACAAGGACAGAACAGGGTTCCCAGCCCCTGTTTATAATTGTTTAAAATCCTCTGCATTGTTTTTCCCTTTATTTCTCCCAAAGAAAAGAAATATGTTTTTAAAGGAATATGTCCATTAATATTGTATGGATTTTAGAGTATTCCCATGCATGGGTTTTTAACTAGGAAGGGGTAGGAGCTTTGACATTAACTGAGTTATTCTGAAGAGGAGCTAATGAATACAATTCAGTTCAGCTAGCCACCATGGGCATTTGACTTTAAAGCCATACCTTTTTGTATTGACTTCTACATTTCTCTCTCCAGAGTAATTTGTTCAAAAAGGCAAGGAAAGTCACCATTACTATTACATTGTATATGCATTGATCCCACCTAGCAAACAGCAGTCATTCCCACCTACCTCACCATGGGTAATTTGAGGCATATCCAAAGTGACTCATTGTTTGTAGTAGTTAGCTTTCATTGTCAACATGACACAGCTGAGAAGGGAATCTCAATTGAGGGATTGCCCAGATCAGATCAGAGTGGCCTGTGCGTGCGTGCGTGCGTGCGTGCGTGCGTGCGTGTGTGTGTGTGTGTGTGTGTGTGTGTGTGTGTGTAGGGGTTGGATGTTAATGATGACTTTGGAGGGCCAAGCCCACTGTGGGCAGCACCAACCCTTGAGAGTTAGCCCTGGGCACTATAAGAAAGCAAGCTAAGTCTGAGTCTGTGAGGGAGCCATGGTTTTTGCTTTAAGCTCCTTCTTTAACATCTCTCAGTGATGGACTATGACCTGGAAGTTTAAGCCCAATAAGACCTTTCCTTCCCTGAATTGCTTTTGGTCTGAATATTTTATCACAGCAACATACAGCAACCCAGACTGTCTCCTCCAGCCTAGAGGAACATGGAACAACTCTCATGGCAAATCTCAGAAAATCTCCACAGTCATCAAAGAGAGCAAGGACAAAGCAATTAAACTTAAAAGTCACAGGAAATGAATGCAAATTGAAACATTCAAAGGAATCTTAGTATAGCAAAGAAAGAAGGATTTTGATTCCTTTATCCTTTGTCAGTATCTCAGATGTTTTCTCCATTGTATTTTTTTTATATCATGAGAAAGTTATGATGACAAAGGATGTAGTAATAGAGGGGTGATGTAACTGTCGATGTACAGGGAACATTTGCAACACCTAAGCTCTTGACCCACTTCTCCACACAACTCCAAGTCAGACTTTAAGAGTGATCTCTAAAAGTGCAGACCTGCATCCTGTCCTAAAGGAGTGGATACGTTAGACAGTATATGGTTAGTGAAAACCATAGAAGATACGCAGGGGAGGGCCCAGTCCCTGCTCCAAATGACTTAACAAATTTCGATGATCCCTCATGGAAGGCCTAACCCTCCATGGGAAGTAGAGGGGGGATGGGAGGGAGAGGGGGATTGATATGTAAAATAAGATTGTTTCTAATTTAAATAAAATTTATAAAAAAAGAAAATCATAAAACAATTAAATGATGTCTTTGTATTGGTAGACTATAATCTTGGAGAAATTTATTATCTAACATGTCATCTCACAAATGTTAAAATTCTGCCTTGATCATTCAGGTCAGCTTACAAATCAGTGAATTTCCCTCTAATTCTTTGTATTTCTAAGAAGTTTAATAGAAATAAGTTGCAACTGAATTAGCTATGCAGTCTAAGTCTCATGGTAGTATTTTCAAAATGAAAAAATGCATTTAAAATAGACATGGGGGAGCAGGAAGGTTGAGTTGGGGAAGAATAGAGGAGAGCAGGATGAGAGATACCCTAATAGAGGGAGCCATTATAGGTTTGAGGAGAGATTTGGCACGAGTGAGATTTCCAGAGATTTACAAGGATGGCACCAACTGGCAAACTAAGCGATAGTGGAGAGGCTACCTTAAATGCCCTTCCACAATAATGAGATTGATGACTACCTCATATGCCATCCTAGAACCTTCATCCAATGACTGATGGAAGCAGAAACAGGCACCCACAGCTAAACACTGAACTAAATTCCCAGAACCCAGTCGCAGAGAGGGAGGAGTGATGAGCAAAGGAGTCAAGACCAGGCTGGTGAAATCTATAGAAACAGCTGACTTGAACAAGAGGAAGCTCATGGACCCCAGACTGATGGCTGAGAGGCCAGCATGGGACTGATCCAGACGCCCTGAACGTGGGTGTCAATGAGGAGACCTCGGCAATCAATGGGGCCTCAGGTAGTGGATCAGTTATTGTCTCTGGCCTACAAACGGACTTGGGGACCCCATTCCACATGGAGAGATGCTCTCTCAGCCTGGAGACATGGGAGAGGGCCTAGATCCTGCCTGGGATGATATGACAGATTTTGGAATTCCCCCGTGGAGGGCCTCACTGGAGATGGAGAGGGGGTGGGAGGGGTTGCTGGGGTCAGGGGAGGAGGGGAGGGAACTGGGATTGATATGTGAAGCAAGTTTTTCTAATTTAAGCTAAAAAAGAAAGAAGAAAAATATAGACATCTTAATGGGCCAACCCCAGTAGCTAATCGATTGATTCCCTTTGAATATTTGTTGTATGATATTTAGATTGCATTCTAAATGCTCCCAAGAAGGCCAATAAAATTTGGTTTAAATCAGTGGGTAGAGCTAGCTTCTAGCTGATCAAAATTAGCCATAGAGATTTTGGAGGACTGAGGATAGAGAGACAAGGAGTAGTAGGGCAGGCTCTGAGAGGGTCTCAGCCTCTTATTGATTGAGGAACCAGAGAGAGAGAGAGAGAGAGAGAGGAGGTCACTGGCCATATCTCCCCAGTTTCTCTGGTCATTCAGGTACCTACCCTGATATCTAACTCGAGTTTTTATTGATAGGATAATTAGATAAACACTTCAAACACCCTTGAAGATCTAAGAAAAGATTCACCCAGTTTTTGGTCATAGTAACCAAATAGTTCATAGCATCCAAAACTCTGTGTGTCAGAGGGGTATGTGCTCACGAGTCAGCAGGCACACACATATATACGCCAGTTTAAGGGCATCGATATTGGCCAGAGATAAACCTTACTTGCTATTTTTCATGAGCCATCTACCAGAGAGAGGAAAAGAGCATGGATGCAGGTGTAGGAGGTCAGATGTCAACCTGTTGCTTTTCAGCCAGATCCCCTGTTTTTGAGACAAGAAATCTCACTTTGACACGGGGCTCATAAACTCACAGACTGAACTGGAGAACTGGAGTGGGCAGCTGACAAGCTCCACTTGGCCACCTGCCTCTGCCTCCTCGGTGCTGGGATTAGAAGCAAGTGGCACCACCATGCCTACTTTTTGCCTGGGTGCCAGGAATCTAAGTCTGGTGCTCACGTTTATTTTTGTCAAACATGCAAAGACTGATCTCTCTCCCCAGCCTTGTATTTTAGGATAATGCCTCTTTCTGGGACCCGGGACTCACCAGTTATGTTCAGCTGGCTAGCCAGCAAGCCCCAGGGGCAGTGGCTCTGGCCCACCCCTGCCCCAGCCCTGGAATCACAAGCATCTGCTGTCACACCTGACTTCTTTGTTGACAAGGGTTCCACATTGCATTCAGAATGCCCACTTCTCTAGTCCTTCAAAACACTTTTCTTAAATTTACTTTTCGGGCAGTGGCGGTGCACACCTTTAATCCTAGCACTTGGGAGGCAGAGGCAGGTGGATCTCTGAGTTCAAGGTCAGCCAAAGCTACACAGAGAAACCCTGTCTCAAAAACTGAAAAAAAAAAACAGCCTGTGTTTTTGCTAGGTGGTGGTAGTGCACGCCTTTAATTCCAGCACTCGGGAGGCAGATGCAGGGGGACCTCTGTGAGTTTAAGGCCAGCCTGGTCTTCAAAGAGAGTTCCAGGACAGTCTCCAAAATCTACAAAGAAACCCCATCTCCAAAAAAATACATATATATAAATTCATTTTACATACCAACCCCAGTTCTGCCTCCCTCCCCTTCTCCTATCCCCCCAGCTCCCAAAATACCCCCCTCCACTCCTCAGAGGGGGTAATAGGAAGTCAACAAAGTCAGGTATACCAAGTTGAGGCAGGACCAAGCCACAACCCCTGTATCAAGTCTGAGCAATGTATCCTACCATAGTGAGTGGGGTCCAAAAACCCTATTCATGTGTGCATGATAGGTCCTGGTGCCACTCCCAGGGGAAAAAGTACTCAATAAAATACTGGCAAGCACATCAAGAAAGTCATCCACCATGATCAAGTAGGCTTCATCCCAGAGATGAGGGAATGGTTCAACATATGAAAATCTGTCAATGTAACCCATCTTTAAAACACTTTTATCTAATCGAAAGCTATATTAGAATTGCTTGGTTCTAATGAAATGTATTCTGCTGTGGATAAGCATTTGACTGAAGCCTGCTTAATTTTGTCACTATGACAAGACACTGGTACAAACCACTTAACAGAGGAGGACTTACTCTGACTCAGAGTTCCATAGTCAGCTGGCTCCATGGCTATGGGTGGGGTATAATGAACCATTGTGGAGGCAAAAGCATGTACCAGAGGAGGCTGTTTATCTCATGATGTCCAGGAAGCAGAAAGTGACGTAAGGAAGCATGTGGGGGCAAGAATTATATATACATAGGGGTGTGTGTGTGTGTGTGTTTTGTGTGTGTGTGTGTCCTATCCACTTCAAAGGGCTGTTACTAATGATCTTTCTTCAACTGGATCCTACAGCCTAGCTTCTAGCACCTTCCAGTGGTGCCATCAATCAATGGATCAGACTCATAACTTAACTCGGAGCTCTCATGAGGCAATCAGGGCCCCACCTTTGAACACCACTTGTGTCAGGGATCTGAGCCTTCTGTACTCTGGGGATCAGCATTTCATATTCAAACCGTAATGTGCCAGTGGAAAACCACATACGTTTTGGCTTTTGGTATCATCTAAGGAAAGAGGAGTATGGTGACTAGAGCCAGTGTGCAGCCAGGCGCAGCAAGACACTGTCCTGTCCATTCCTTGGAGAAGAGGGTCAATGCGGGTTCTGAATGGAGGCAGAGAGTGTGTATTCCCTGTTTTGCTTTGACTAAGAGAAGAGAATAGAACTTAAAAGAGGAGTGAATTTAAACAAGACAAGCTACAATGAACTAGGAAGACCTTTGGAGTAGATCCTACATAACGGAAACTCAGAATCAAGAGCTCTCAAATGTCCCCCACCGTCTACGCAAGGTAACGATTCACTCCCAGCCAGTCCTGTTCCAATGAGGGACTTAAAGTCTCTTCCCGATCCAGCTAGTGGCCCTCCTTGGCACTCTTATCACCATACACTCCCACTAGCTGTGTTTGGGAAGTGCTAGGGGAGTTGAGTTCACACTTTTCAATAGTCAATTAGGTATAGGATACTGGAGAAATGTAAGGCAGAGTCAAACATGACTGAGAAATGGAAAAGAAAATTTGCAAGACTCTCCTCAAGGCAGAGCTGTCTATGGAGCTATAGCCCAGCCTATGTGGATAGCAGTAACTCTTGACCGTGGTTGTAAGGTTTCCTTTGACACAACATTGCAGGCCTATCATTGGTTTACTTATCTCTCTCTTATCCTTAGAATCTTAAGTGTAATCATAGGGACTTATCATTTGCATTTGGGCAGCTCTTATTTTTAAATACTTTGGGGCTCATTGTTTCAGATTAAATGCAGAGGAAATTTTGTGAGTACCCATAAAATGTATAAACAAGGTATTTCCAATTTGCAGGGCACTTAGGGAATATTTTACTCAGATATATCTGCTATGATGTATGGCATCATGCATCCATGTCTCAATAAGAAGCCTACGTTGAGCATGCTATAATGTTGAAAGCTAATGGTTTGATGTGTTATCTTCTGTCCATTGTTTTATGACCTAACCATGACTCTTAGGAAACGTAAAAGCACCTCACATTTGAATTGGCCTGAAAGGAAACAGCAGGATAAGCAAACTCATGTGCTGAGATTCAGGGCAGAAAGTCAGGTCCATTTTAGCAGACCTGTCCTATGAGGGATGCTATCATCACTGCATCTTCTGTTCACCCACTCAGGCATTTCTTCTTGCTCTCCTCCACTTGCCTCTACTCGTCTTGGGAAAGATGATTGTGCCTCTGGATTTGTCACCACAGCATGTCCAAACAAAGTGCCATAGACTGGGCATTTTAAATAACTGATATTTATCTATTGCCATACTAGGAGTTAGGAAGTCCAATCAAGACTCTAGCAAAGTACACATAATAAAATACATGTTTTCTCTTGGCAGGCAGATGGCTGCCATCTTTGAGGTGCTCAGATGATGTCTTTGTGCCATCTGCTGTCTCTTCTTATAAGGACACCAATCCCATCAAACTAGAGTTCACTCTCATGACCAATTCCAGGTTCAATTTCTTCTCTAGGTTCCCATTTCAAAATACCAACCCATTAGAAGTTAAGTTTTCAACATAGGAACACAGGGACACAAACATTATTTCACTTCAATTCCTAATAAAAGATGCACTGAAAATCTTTCATTAAATGATCCAAGGCAACTCTTATCTACAAGTTGGAGGTGGTGTCATTCAGTTGAATGAGTAAGAATGATAAGTGCAGTGTTCTTTGTTTCTTCCTAGCAATATAAATTATGAGGTTAATAGTACAGTTTCACAACCTATAAAGACAGGGGATATCCAATGTTGGATTAGAATTAATTTGCAAGTGATAAGCAGACCTGATAAAGAGTTTAAAAAAGAAAAATAAAACAAGTGTGAGTATTTGTGCTCTAAAAATCAGCGCGTAGACTGTACCATGACTGTATGACCCTTCTGTGCAGCAGGGAGCTGGTACCAGCATGATGATGATGTCATAGTGTGCTAACACTTTTCTTAGAACATATCAGAGCTTCCATGTGAGAAACTTCAAAGTTAGTTTGTTACCATAATTTGTTATATAAGTAATTTGGGCGATTAGAGGAACGTTTGAAAATATAACAAAAGTCAGTCAGAGAAAGACAAGCTACTTTCTTACTGTTCAAGGTCTATTTCTCCTTCTGCCTCATCTTATCTCCTCTCCTCTCTTCTCCTCTCCCGCCCCCAGGCACATACAGGGTGTGTGGGATACAGGCCTGAAGAGAGGCAGGCGTGGTCTCTCTAGGGGTTCTGGTCAGATCCTTGGTGGCAGCTGAGATTGGATGCTCAGAGCGCTTACCCTGGATTGTCGGTTTATCATGTAAGTGATTTCTCCCCAGTAAATTTAATCTACCTCACCCCTATCACTATGGCCTATTTTGGCTTGTTAATGTATCATGAGTAATTTTCTACCTTTCCATCATGACTTTCCACTGATGATTGTAGGATGTTTAGATCTGACACTTAGCTCTAATTTAAGCAGACTGCATAATGGACAGAATTCATGAAGGTTTCCTCATCTGAGCCACCCTGTCCTTTAGCATTAAATACTTAGAGGTCAACATGTAGAAGTTGAAAGTAAGTGCAGTCTGTTCAACAAATGTGAAGTCCCCTCTGAACAAATACAAGTTTCTAGTTCTCTGGTGATAATTCCAAGTTTGCCTACATACACACTGAACTATTATTATGTCAAATTCACTTTTTGTTTGTCAATCAAAAGAAGATCATTTACATGGATTTCTTTTACCAGCAAGGGTTAATAATTCTTTATGCTCGCTGGCAATGTATAGTTTTTGTTTTCCATTCTTTTAGTGCTATTTTTTGTTGTAGCAAACATATATAGAATCTTAAAAGATAGTGAGGATGAGATTTTGTGAATAAATTTCAATTCGTATTTATCTGTGGAGTTCTTTTTAAGTTGAATTTTTATGTACTTTTATGTGTGATAAGAGACTCATTTTCAATTACTTTTATTTTCCTTCCTTTGAGGGTTGGAATATGCCATCAGCTGTGGAGACTATCAAAGAAGACACTGTTTTCAAAAGGAAACTTCTAAATGATTTATGTGGTGCCACATCATGGAAAAATCCATTGGCTCATCCAAATTCTCTGTCTCACTGTATTATTTGCCAACTTTATATAAGTTTCTGTTATTATTTTACTTCATTTTGGGAAATAATTATCTTCCCAAATATCAGCATCTAGTCTCTATATTTGTGTCTGATATATTAGAAGGGCTTATAACTGTATACCTCTACTTAGGACACTCTAGAATGTTTTCAGATAAGAGTGTTTTGTCATATGAAGACACAAAACAGCATCAAAGCCAAGTGAGGCTTCCCCGTATTACCTCAGCAGACATTTAAAGAAAATGATGGCTACATAGATGTGCCATAAATTGCATGTTTAAAAAACACAGAAATCCTAATGTATGCCTCCTGCCTCTCTCCTATCACATTGCTTTAAAGTCCAGCATTTCATAAACTGAAAACCACAGAAACAGATGTGTTGGCTCAAATGTTTGAGGGTGTGGTTCTGACAGCTGTGGCACTGAACTTCCTTCTTCCTACAGCAACTGCTTTTCTCCCTACAAGTTTGGACAGCCAGATATTTTTAAAGCATGACTTGTTTCCTTTACAAAAATGACATTTCTAATTTATACTGATGCTATGACAACTTGATGACAAAACTAGCTTTTGTTAAAGGTTTGATCGACCCAGAGATTCAATTTTGCAAGGTCACTTGCCCTATGTAATATTTATTTATCTATTTCCTTATTTATTTATTCATTACTATAGAGAGGTATCAGCATCTTGGTAAAGAGTAAAAGAATAGTATTCAAGGAAATTTAAATGCTAACCCAAAATAGACTTATAAATATGTTGTTTCCAGAATGTTTTCCTTCTTCATATTCTACCCTAAAGTTAAAAAAAAACAAACACATAAAATAGCACCAATGAGTTAGCTTCTATCTTCACTGTGGCTTTTCCACCTAGCTAGACATTGGGTAGATGGACATCTGGCAGAAACTGCTGTAGCAGGAATGTAGAGAACCTAGAGTTACAGCCCGAAATGCTGAAGCCGGGAGAAGAGCTCAGAGGTATCACTCCTCTGTTCTAGTATACATTATTCTTTCTAATTTCACTCAAGAGACGTTGCCATGTTCTCAGGTTTTAAATGACCCCCTTAGAGAAATAAGTGTGTCAGCCTTTCATAGGATAGGAGGCAGTCAGGTTGAGCTGCTGAAGCTTTTCCATGAGAAGTAAGACAAGATGGTTTGGAAGCGAGTACCATTTCAGTCCTGTATCACAATGACATCTGTTACAACACATTATTAACCATAAAACCCCACATGCTGCTTGAAATGATACAGGGAAAGAAAAAATGCTACAAAATGCAAATCTTGCAGCTTTTGTCTCAAAGGCTGTATCAACCAGCTGATGTTGTATTTGTTGGTAAAGAAAATAAATATATTGAAATGTGACAATCTGCTTACCAGCATAATTGGATAGTCTCCTTCAATGGCCATTTGGAGCTATAATTGTCAGATATGTTGATCTGTTTTCACCATGAAAATGGTCCTAGCTTGGGCAGCCTCCGGTAGGAAATGATGTAATACCAAGAGATCCATCAACTCAGATGCACTCAGCAGGGAAGCTCAGTGTTATTGCCAGTCGAAGTTCTAATCACTGCAGGACTGGGGTTCCTAGAGCCTTACTTTTCTCTTTCCCTTAGCTGCCTTCAGCAGTTTCCTTACTCAACAGCTGTGAACATATGAAGCCAAGGCAAAATTATTGGAAACTGCCAATGGGTTATTAGATTTCACCTCACCTTTTGGTGTTCCTCATACCTGATTTATGTGGACTTTGGTTTGCATGGAAACTGAAGTCTAATGTAGAATGAGATCTGGGACAAAGGACAGACCTGGCAGGGAGCTAAGAGGGCAGTCCATCTATAAGAGACTTGGAGTTATAACAAGGCAAGGGCATTTATGTAGACTAAATCTTCCAAGGATTAGTGATTGGAAGAAGATGCTCTTAAACCACTGATGGTTGAGTGTGATTTCCTTATTAATTGGATCTATGTCAATCATCTATTTCATTACATTTATGGAAATGCAGAGCTGGTCAGGTTAGATTCAAAGACTGTAGTGATAAATCTCAAATATAATTATTATTTATTTATTATTAAGTGCATAAATGCTTGCTTCCATGTGTGTGTTTGAGTGTGCACCTGCGACCAGTGCCAATAGAGGTTAGAAAAGGGTGTCAGATCCCCTGGAACTGGAGTACAGGAGTGAGTGAGGGTTGTAGTAAGCCACATTGTGAGTGTTGGGAATCAAACCTGGGTCCTCTGAAAGAGCAACAAGTGCTCTGAACTTTTGACACAATCTCTCTACCCAACACATATTTTTTTTTCATGAGCACTTTGTATGACTCAAGATCCAATAAAACAATCCTGAATAGTTTATTCTTTTTCCTTTCTGTATACAGCTCTCAGCCTTTCTTCTAAATAACTTCTGGAAAAAATATTTAGAGAATATCACTTAAGGAACACTGAGTTAATTGCTGCCTGGCAACTCTAGAAGGTTCTTACTGGTCATGGATAGTGATACTTATCCAATTATTTATCCATCGCTTGTGTAAAGTGTGAAGGAAACAATACTAGAAAATGTAAGTGAATTATCAATGAGGGAAACAGTACAATCCATAGCTACAAGCTTTAGCATTTTGTGTGTATGTGTGTGTGTGTGTATGTGTATAGAATTCTACTAACATATGTGTGTTAGCATATGTGTTAATGTTTTAATATATAATACTATTCCTATCAATTTTTCTATAATCTACATAAAAATTTTATTATTTTTAGGTCTGTAATTCAAAATATTTTAGTAAATTTTCTGATATATGTTATCACCATAATTTCATTTTACATTTTCATTGTCCCCAAAGACCTGTCATGCCAATTTATAGATACTGTCTGTTTCCACCCCAAGCCTTACAAGAAGCTACTTTACTTTCTTTCTAGAAAAGCCACCTTTTCTAGGTAATTCTCTAGGGACTTCTGTTTACTTCCACTGTTCTCATGCAAAATCCCTAGAGCAGTGTAATGACTTCTGGGACCTTACTGGATGTTTTGGTTAGGGAAAGCTTTATCCCCACAGGGATTACTGTGTGGGAAAGATCAGCGCTCAACAAAGCTCCCTCCAAATAGTTATCTATCTGCCTTTCTTTCTTTCTTCCTTTTTTCTTTCTTTCTATCATCTATCTATAATCTATCAATCTATCTGTCTGTCTGTCTATCCATCCATCCATCTATATCTATCTCCCCCTCTCATTTTGTTTTCTTTTTTCATAAAATGTTTCATTTTTATTAATGTGTATGTGTGTGTATCTATTTGAGCATCTGCCCCCCCCGTGTGTGTGTGTGTGTGTGTGTGTGTGTGTGTGTGTGTGTGTGTGTGTGTGCGCGCGCGCGTGGTATGTCCACAGCAACCAGAAGAGGAGGGGAAATAAGTGAAAGGAACTGAACTAGCAAGCACTCTAAACTTTAAGCTATCTTGCCAGCTTCTTATTTTTTTTCTGGTTTTCTGAGACAGTCTACAGCACAAACGACCTTCCAATTCAGTTTTTCTGCCTTTGCCTTAAGGATTTTGGTATCCCAGGAATGTGCCAACATGCCAGGATCTCAGACATTTCTAGAGAAATGGTATCATTCAAGTTAGAGCTATGAGTTGAGGAATGCTTCTATTATTCTTTGCTCTACAATTTTGTAGAAGAATAACACATAAAATAATTTAGCCTTAATTTTCCTCCTGTATGCAATATGGTATGAGGTGGTGGCAGTGTATGTATTTCAACAGAAATTTTTCTCATGATCCTAAAACTTCCTCTTTCTCATCAATGGAAATCCACCCTATATTTTAATGCTTCATTAAAGTTTAAACCATGATCTAAAAAAATACCCTCCTACAGTATTATTATCATATAGTTCATTTGCATTTAACTTAATCCTCTGGCTCTGTTGTCTATACCTGCGTGCAGTCATCTTCACAATGTCAGGTGTTAAGAGTAGGTTCTGGCTTCACTGTCAACACTCATATATTGAGTTCCTGTGATGATTTGTGGGCGATACAGCTGAGTAGAGAACCCAACAAGTTTCCTAGAGACAATCAAAGATGAATTCAATGTGTTTATAAAAACCCCTCCAGCAATGCCTTTATCTGACTGGATATTTTCCTCTGAATTGGAAGAAAAGAATCTCAAATGCAGAAAAGGTTGGTTTTTGGGACAGAGATTTAGCCAAACATCAATTATAGCTGGAAACAATTAGATGACTATTGAGCTGGACCTTAAAGGATGAATGGAATTTCAATAGTCAGAAAATTGCCAAGATGAAGTATTTCAGGAATAAATTTTAACTCCATCCATTCATTCATGTTTCCATTCATCACATATGTGAGTACATGCTTGTATAAATCTGTGATGACTAGGGTTAATCTGATGTAACAGAGAATAATGCATTTTAGTGGCTTATAAGAGGAATGTAACTAATTATTAATATTCATAAGCACTTCTCATTTGTTTTTAGCCCTACCATTTCCTTCCTTCCTTCTGTCCTTGCTTCCTTCCTTCCTTCTGTCCTTCCATCCTTCCTTCTGTCCTCCCTTTCTTTCTCCCTCCCTCCCCCTTCCTTCCTTTCTTCATTCCTTCCTTTTTCCCTTTCTTTGCCTCAGTTCTGTGCCCTGTTACTCATGCAGGATCCCCTTAACAGAGCAGACTTTGTCTGGGACTCAAAGTGTCCCCCCTGCAGGGATAAAAGATGATGTTAGACCCAGGACCCTTACAATGTCAGCTTTTTGGACTCATCAACATTGTTCTCGAATGCAATTGTCCAGAGAAAGTTTTATGATCAAATATTAATGCCCAGAGATAACTGTGATGGAAATGGTCAGTGGAGATGACAAGCAAATAATATCGCACATTCTGGTCTTACATCTTACATGGTGATCTTGAGAAAAAATTCCCTACTTTCAGGGAATATATATTTCATTGGGAATAAGTCTGGATCCACAAAAATGAAAGCATATCTTTAGGTCTTGAAAATTGGTAAGGAATATGGTCATAGTTTTTATCACAGCAAAAAAAAAAACCTTGAACACACATACACACACACGCACACAAATAAGCATCATACAGACACATAAATAAGTTAGTTTTTCAAATGATTGAGTTTTAGAATATAATAGACATCCTTTAATTGTCTCAAGTAAACAGGTCATGTACAATAAAAAAGAGTTTTTTGTCCCAGACCAGCTCATGCCAATCCTTTAGTCAAATTCTAATACAGATGTTATTACCTCATGCTTTGCATATGTGGTTGATATCTCCAATCGGTATATTTCAAGTTCATGGTACGGTTGTGATCCTTCCAATCAGTAAATTTGCTTAAGGGTAAAAGCTAAGATTTGGCACCAGGGCAATTGCTCAATGGCCAGGAGCACTTGATGCTTTTGCAGAGGACCCAGTTAGAGTCCAGCACCCCTGTTAGCTGACTCACAACTATCTGTGACTCTGGTTGTCAGAGATCCAACAGCCTCTTCTTGCTCTGCAGGCACCACTCACACATGTGGTACACAGACATACATGCAGGCAAGGCATGAGCACACATGGAGTAAAAATAAATAAATCTTTTTATAAGACCTGATGGAGGAAAGATAATGTGCCTCACTAGTGCTGTTCATTATGTTCCAGATATGCGTAACACCATTTGATATCATTTCTTAGGATAATTCTATAAAGATAAATAGATCTAAAAGAGTATGTGCATAGATCGGTAAATGTGGACACTGTGCCCCTGAAAAACCCAGATTCACAACAGGATGTCCTTACTCTACTCTGTTTATAGACAGAAGAGATCATGAAATTTAGAACTGGAAATAATTTGCTGACCACTTGGAGGCCAGGATTGGAAGGAGGAGGTAAGAACTGCGTATCTTTTATTTTGTAAAGCAAAAACAATTCTACTAACTTCATTATTCATTTAAAGTTTCTCCATGCCTTGTTCTTACTATTACAAGATGATAATGCATAGCTAATGACTCTGATTTGTTTGCTACTCATTACAATATCCATGTGTGAAAATATATTATAAGCTACAAATATTATTTCTCTTCATGAATGTATTATTGCTTGGCATGCAGAAATAGCTTGCTTAGTAAAATGCTGAATAAGAATGAATATTGAAAAAAATTTAAAAAACAGAGAATGAAGACTGTGTTTAGAACTATCAGCCCCTATGTTAAAAAGAAAAAGAAAAGAAGCCAGCACAGTGGCATAGTAACACTTCCCTGTAAGCCTCGCACTGGGAGGGCAGAGTGAGGAGGACTCACTGAACTCACTGGCCAGCTAGTTTCGCTGAATCAGTGAGGTCTAAGGCCAGTGAGAGACCTGGTCCTAAAGAATAGCATAAAGAACAATTGAG